GGGGGGGGGGGGTCCATAAGATTGATTTAATCAATTATTTGAGGTTTCTGAGGTGCGTCGACCCCGTCACTTAACTTGCTAAAGCAAGAGCAACTCCAGCTAGCTAAGGCTAGCTTTCGTGACAAACACTCATCGTCACGTGGATGGGGTGAAGTCGCACTTCGTTCAGCACCTCCGTTCGTTCGGTACTTCGTCGACTCCGTGACTCCGTCAGTCAGAGAACTCTTCATTGTGATTCCGGAGTTCCAAGAACGAAGCCTCCCGAAAAACACACCCACGACTCTCACTCGTTGTGTCGGACTTGCAGCCAAACCTCTAGGGTTGCAGCTTGTAGTCAGGGGCCGCTTGTGGAAAGGCCACGGTGCAACTCAGTTGAACGTGGTAAGCTGATATTATATCAACATGTATATAATTAACATTGGATATAGTAAGCAGTTTATACTACATATCATTGTTGATATCAACTTCTGAAACAGCTCACCTTCCAGGTCCCACGGCGCCGGTCCTGAGCTCTGATGCCGGAATGCGCAGGCGCCCAGGCCCATCGCGGTTATCCAGGACCTGTGGCAGCGGGTTTGGTTGTTTGGAGGTGGAGAACCCATGGGAAAAAACAGGCAAAAGCGGCGCGTGGAGATGTTTTTGGAGATTCTTTTCACATTAGGCTAGGCGGCTAGACGGCTAGACTAGAGGATCTGGTTGGTTGAGGTGATCTCAATTGAGACAAATGATTCACGACAGGATATGACACATATGCTGTGTGCCAGCTCTGTTGCAACTTGATTATACTTGATTCATCGAAGACTCCGCTCATTCAACAGTACTGTATGTAATTTAAACACAATAACACACTACCTGCCATCTACTCCACGACAATTATTTGATAATGAGTTGGGACTTGCCGCCCCCATCAACAGCTTGCTTTTGATGGACAACTCCTGAACCACCTGCGGAATGGCTTCACCGTTGGCATGAAACATGGCTACGACAGCTGCAGTTCAGAGGATTTCAAAGGTCAAAGAGGGGCGAATAGAGCAGCCGAATGGTGGAATTCTTGTAGAGCTTTGGAGAGTTCATGAAGCATCTGGGCACGCCGGCACGCCACCTAAATGTTCCCGTTCTGCAGCCTGGGGGGGGTGGGCGTTTTTGCGACTCTGAGTCCAACTCCAGAAACCATCCAATCCTCAATCCTCCCAAAGGATCCCTTTTAGATATGATACCCTCAGGCCCCTGGAGCAGGGCCGTCTCGCAGTGGATGTGGATGAAAACCCCCGTCGTCCGGGTCCGACGTGTTTCGTTTCACGCCTTGAGCGAGAGCTCCTCCCTCAGGAAGGAGGTCACCGCCGGGCGGATCAGCGGCACGTTCCCTGCGCCGTGAGGGAGGGGACCACTGGGGTGACCAAGGGGGAGGGTTGCGAGGCTTGGAGAAGGCGCAAGAGAAGGAGCTGCTCCTTGGACCGCTTTTCAATGTCTTTGCCAATGACCAAGGGTCTCCCCCAGGTTTCAAGCTCACTGTGGGACAATCATGGACAATCAGCTCCATCATCGGTTCATGGCGCATTCAGCCGTTGTCTCAGTTGCACCCCCACAGCGGAAACAACAGCTGTGGTGCCTGTTCAATTGATCGAACTTGGGAGTCCGCAACCCATGGAATCACCACAAGCTCCCACAATTCACCCTTCTCTCCCAAAAGTAAAAGCACAAATCTGCAGTACACCCACTGCCCCAACGACCCCACCAAAACATCCGCACTCGCTCTGCCCACCACATCCGCCATCCTTTCCAACAAATACCACCAAAGCAGACCCTCCACGCCGCCGCCAACGCCAACAACACCAATCACACCATCGAAATCCACCGTCACGCTTCGCCGCTCACCCCGCACCTGTCCTATACCGCGCCACGCCATCCTCGCGTTCGGATGACCTCGGATCCCTTCGCAGGCCTGGGCTGTTGTTGCCCACGCCGGTGACGATGATCAGCGCCCCGAGCTGGTCCGCCGCCGGCACGCCCGGAGGCCCCAGCACCAGGTCCTCGATGGCCACCTGAGGCTTGGAGCGTTCGTTTCGCGCGAACGGGTGTTGGCACCGGGGTGTTGAAGTGCTGATTGTTCACCTAAGGTCACCTTTTTCAAGTGGATGTTGTGAGGTACGTTGAACTAAATGGTTTGGTCGTAGTCTTTGGTCGTAGTGTTTGCTAAACATTCACTGAATATGTGTTGGCATGTATACTGAAATCCCACGTGGCTTCTCATCATTCGCACGATGATGAGTCATCCCTCGCATTGGTACAAAATGCTTGAAATAATGTAATATATTAATTAATCCCCTGAGAATGCTGAGCCTGTTTAGGGGACTAACCAAACTCTTGGAACATCTTGGAACAAACCTTTGCTGAGCAGTCGGTTTCCAAACGTCTTGCTCAGTCAAAACAGCCAGGCATAAAAAGGGCACTTCAACACAACAGCCCCACAGGTCGCGGTGTTGAATTGTGGGTCTTGGGTTTTGACACCTTACCCCCCATACTCTCCGCCTGAGGTGGTGCCCTAGGTGAAGGTAACCCCTATCATGGGACTTCTGTGTGCAAAAAGGAGCCCCTCATCTTCATACCGAGTAGTTGGAGGAAAGGTCATACATTTCCCCCGCCCCGAACAGCGTCTTTCCTCCGACCTGCACGGCAATCTTGGACACCTCCACCGGCAGCCCGTGCAAGTCGATCAAGACATCCTGGGCCATCGCCGTTTTCAAGGGACCCAGAGGAGGTGACCCAGAGGCACCCAGAGGGAAAATGTGCGGATCGAAGCTGCCAAGAATGGACGGCTTAAACAAATGAGCCCATGTTGATTGATTCAGGCACTCAGGTTGAATATGGCACCCTGATATACCCTGATTATTGTTAGGTTTGACATCCAAACCTGCAGCAAATGTCATGCATGAGATGGATGTGAAACATAGGGTTTTCATCAGATATAGGATCACACCTCTTCATTGGTTGTGATATGGTGTCTTTGTTTGACATACCCCCCTTGGCAAACCAAGGCTGTGCAAGACCTTCAAAACTATTGCTTTCTTCTATTCAGTTGAATGGATTTTTAAAGTCTAATGATTTCCGCTGAGTTACAAAAACATGTGGGTTGTTTGCTGAGTGTGGTTCATGTGTCTCTTTTTGCCTGATGGTGCCCCTTTTTTCAACTATTTGCATGATTATGTGCGCATCGTCTGATGGCAGAGCGGTCAAACAAAACCACCATGTCACTGTCATATCACAACCAATGAACAGTTGTGAGCCGGTCTGGTGAAAACCCTATCTTATGTATGACGTATGAAATGTGCTACATGTTTGGATATCAAGCCTAACAATAATCAGGGTGCCATATTCAAAAACCAGAGTGCCATCAACATGGGATTGGTCCTGTGTATTTATTCCACCTTAGTTCTTGCCAAATATGACCCCTTTGATCCCATGATCTATGATCTAGGATGGCATCCGGCCAATCGGAGGCCAATCTCCGCGCGCGAATTCCCTAAGACCCATAAGTCAACACCAAGTCCCAACATCCTCAAGTGAACTTCCTCTGTCAACCCCATCCCATCCTCTTGAATTCCCTAAGACCATCTAAGACCCATAAGTCAACACCAAGTCCCAACATCCTCAAGTGAACTTCCTCTGTCAACCCCGTCCCATCCTCTTGAATTCCCTAAGACCATCTAAGACCCATAAGTCAACACCAAGCCCCAACATCCTCAAGTGAACTTCCTCTGTCAACCCCATCCCATCCTCTTGAATTCCCTAAGACCATCTAAGACCCATAAGTCAACACCAAGTCCCAATATCCTCAAGTGAACTTCCTCTGTCAACCCCATCCCATCCTCTTGAAT